GTTGTGAATGAATTCAGAAGTCGTGAATGAAGTGTACAGATTCCAATGAAATATATATAAATCAGAAACGAAGCTTAGATTACATTTGAAAAATTATAGATACAATCTTAATTCATTCAACTCGTCTTTTCTTGACTAGAGAACCAAGCTGTAAAAAAAATTGACTTCATTTTTAAAAATCTTTTAATTAAACGCACAAAGGACTTACAAGATCTGAAATTGCAGGTAAATTATTAGTTTGGTCTGTGACAGTTGTTTCTGGTTCCCTAGTTTCCTTTGGAGGGGCAGCCTTCTTCATGTTTCTATGTTGAGGAAAGGTGGGCATAAGCTTGGGATCACATGCTATAAGAAAAATTAAATGTAAATTTATAATTAATAATTTTCAATATACAATAATACAAATATTATGCTGATTCTTACGCAAAGGTGCCTCTTTGAAATAGGTGCTTTGTAAACATTCGTCTGCAGTAGCTCTTTTCTTTGGATCGTACATAAATAAGAAATTTAATAATCTTAAACCAGCAGCGCTTAACCATGGAAATCTTTGTTTTAAATTATTATATGGCTGCTGTTTTAACGTAAAGTTTTGTAAAGCGGGAAGTGTATTAAACTCGGGCCAAATTGCTTCGCTAGGTGTACCTAATAAATCAACAATTAATTCTAACTGCTGAATTTCTGACCGCCCGGGTAATAATGGTCGATGCCCAAGCAGTTCTCCTGAAAAAAACAGATTTCAATGGTTCTATTAAGTCCAATAAGAAGAATAGAACAGAAAGAGAAAATAAAACCTACCTAAAATGCAACCTGCAGCCCACATATCAACAGAAGTTGTCTGTGTTTTAGCTTGCAATAACAATTCTGGTGCTCTGTACCACAATGTTACTACTCTAGGTGTCATTGGTTTCAAAGGTAAGCCAAACCATCTAGCTAATCCAAAATCAGCAATTTTTACACAACCTTTATCTGTCATTAGGAGATTAGATACTTTCAAATCTCTATGTACAATGAAATTGTGGTGTAAATAACGTAAACCCTTTAACACTTGTAAAACAATACATTTGACTTGACTTTCTGAGAATGGAGTTTGCATATTATCTAATAAACTTGCTAAGTCCTGTTCACAATATTCCATAGCAAGGAATATACTCTCTAAACTTCTGCCGACTACTACTTCCCTTAAATGTACAATATTCTCATGACGGCATGACAGTAGAACAGATATTTCTCTTAGGCCACTGACTGGAAGACCATCTTTCTCGTGTTCCATTCGTACTTTTTTCAATGCTACCACTTTATCATTTTTAGTGTCTCTTGCTCGGTAAACAATACCGTAAGTACCTTCACCGATACGATTTAGTTTTTCAAACTCAGATACAAATCTACATTTGCCTAGCTATGAAAATATACAATATTAATGTTAGTCACATGTATTGATGCATATGATTAGAATAATCATAGAAATTATCATAAAATCATTACAATGTCTTGTTCTGGTATTTCCATTGGTTTGCCAGTTAAAAATGACGTTAATACGCCTCTTCTAGTTATTGGTGCTGATGGATCAGGACCTGATTCAGATATAGCTTTTTTGTCACTATCATTGTTCTCCACTGATTTCTTTTCCAAAGTTTCATCTGTAAAATTTGTATAACTTACTGTCAATAAATTATTTTATATTTGAATACATTTATGCAGTACAAAACATAATTATAAATTTCTAGATTTACTATAGTAAACAAAAAATTTATATATCGATACTATTGGAGATTTGATAAAGGTTGGAGAACCTTGAGTAACTTTTATTTATATTACAAGTATCATAATTTCAAATAACGCGTAATAAACAAAAGGACAATGATTTAACCTAGTTAAGAATATTTGCGTTATGATTATAATGAAATTGAATTATACCTTTCGTCATTATGGTTGATTATATTCACAGAAAT